TTAAATTAGGATAATCCATGACTTACTTATACTGGGAAGCTTTACAATGAGTTAAAGAGCACTTAGCTATAGTTCTATAGTCCACTTTCATGCTTGCATCACCATATGTTCTTGGTCTCCTTTTTTTTTTTATTTTTATTGCTCAAGTTATCTCTACGACAATTTCTTAAATATCATGTCTCCAAAAGTTTATTGTTTTTTAAATGTCGACAGTTACTACTATACAAGAGCAGTGATGTATCTGTCCAATATTTTGTAGCAATGGATTTCAAGATTGATATTGTACTTGTTTCCTCCTTAGTCTTTATTTCGATATCTGCTATTAGAACTTTTATAAGAATTTTCAGGTTGAAAGATCTCTTGACTTGAATTTTTCTTGGTGACTTTCTATGAACTGGCACTTGTCAAGATTTGCGTTGAAATTTAGCAAGGAAAGTTTATCACTTTGCATGCCTTATGTAATATTCATCAACGGCTCCATTTGTATTGCTACAAGATGAAACTCAAAGATCCTTGGACTGCATATCAATGAATCATGCTATCGCCCCTTTTTCCGACTCTGAACGCCGAACTAGTCATGCTTATTCTGAAGTCTAGCTGTTTGGTTTTTTTTAGAGCCAAAAGACTAAATTTATTAATGCGAGAATAATGGTGATTCATTAGCAACTCTAATGATATGTAAATCTGCTGTACCTCTAATGATTATAACTATGAATTACTGCTTAAATGTTTTACAAGACCAAGGTAGTGGACTTATTTTTTAGTTGATAATCCTATTGACCAGTGCCTTCTGAGAGTAATGAAGTTGCGTAAATACCATGGTAATATAGAGTTTGTACCTGCTCATGAATTTGAATTCCATGGTGAACCGAAGAATGGGAGGGAAATCATTGCCAGTAATGTTGCGATATCCCAACAAGGGCGAGATGGAGATGCTGAAGTCTTGCATGGCTACCAGGGCCCTAATTTTTGTTTTGAAGATTCAGACTGGAGGATTATGGAAGGCCCCTTTATAACGATTATGCTGGCCAATTTGCCATGGGTTGTAGAAGATGCAATGGCTGCACCTGAAGCAAAGGTATTCAATTGATAAAGGTTGGAGGATTTAGTATTTCATCATTACTTCTAAGATGGCTGGCTTAATCGGCATTATGGATTTTGCATAGAAGCGTTTAATTGTAATGGATTATAGGTTGAAGTTATTGATGTTGATGCCTTCTCATGTAATTGCTTTGCAGTTTTCTGATGGCTTCCTGGACTTGGTTTTGATCAAGGATTGCCCCAAATCTGCTCTTGCATGTATACTATTGAAGACAGCAGATGGAAGCCATGTCAAATCACCATATGTGATGTATCTCAAGGTAAGCAATAGTTTTGCTTAGGCCTCATTTTTAAAACCCTGAATTTCTTGTTACTGCTGCGGAACTTTTCTGAAAGGAAGTATTTTGGATATTTCTATGTCATTTGGTATCATATTACTTTTTCAGGTAAAAGCATTTAAACTGGTGCCAGGCAACCGTGTGGGAGATTCTGCAAAGGGTGGTATCATCGACGTTGATGGTGAAGTTATAGCTAGGGGTGAAGGAGTTTACATGTGCGGTCTAGAAAGGGATCCAATGACTTACGGACCTCCGATCTTACTAACGGTCGATAAAGGTCTTGCCAGCATCTTCTCTTCAAGATGATCTGTACATAAATTTTCTTAAATTCATCGCCAGTGTACATGAAAAATCTGAAGGGTTATTTTTTAATTTAAAAAGAAATGATCATCTAAATTGTATCTAAATTGTATCTTCATGCATTATTTTATTAAGCTATAAGAAATAAAGTGGAAAATGGAAGGGACAATTGGAGAGAGACGATTGGAGAGAATGGATATATATATATATATATATATATATGTATTGCACGGGACAATTGGAGAGAATGGATATATATTTATTGCACAATTTTTCCCGCTTCTCTCCACATCATTATTGTTACATACAACAATTAAATTTTTCCCGTTTCTCTCCACATCATTATTGTTACATACAACAATTAATTGTGTATTATTTTCCTTATTTCATTTCCATTTGGCTCATGAGGCAGTGGTGGCAGCACTAAAAAATGGAAGAGAGAGGGCCATCCTCTTACTCGAGGTACTTCCAAACTTGGGGAAAGAAAGTAAGTGGGTGAAATGTTTTAGAAGAGGTTAGGTTGGTAGATGGCTCCTTACATGGCATTGTAGAACCACAAAAATGATTAACCTCCCCTTGTAAATAAAGAAGAATAAAATGGGCATACAGAGTCATAATCTACGAAGTTAAAGAGAAATCCACCTTAATCCTGACAATGGATCAAGATAGAGAAGTGTTTATGAGGCGTGATGAGGTTAAGTTCATCGAGATTGTTGGGGGGATTGTGAGCTGATTGAGCAACATTGGAATGATGGGCGAATTTGAAAGTGTTGAGATCATATAAGACCCCGTCAACTCCATGAGATTAATTTGATATTAAAGTGTTTTCATAATAACAAATATAATTTAATTTGAGCTAATATAATTGCGAGTTCCAAAAATTTGAAAAGCATCACGGGCTCTCATTCAGAGCTTAACGCGTGTGTTGAGTTTCAGGTCAAATTTTCAAACGGTGGATGAGATAGTAGATAAGACATTACGCATAGATTTCACCTATATTTTGCGAAAACTTTATTATATGGGTTCGAGGTTTTCCATAGGCGAAAGTTTCTATGATTAATTAGCCCTCCTCATAATGGGAGAGCATTTTCAATTAAGACTAGTTATTAAGTGCTAAGCATTCGAACTTAGCTTGTAGTGGCCATAAATTTTAAAATTTTGAATTATATGTTCAAAGGAAATAGTGAAGGTAAAAATGACGAACCTGATGAGGATCCCATAAATTTGTCATCTTGGATTGTCATGAACCCCAGTCTACTTAGTCTATGGAGGTCTAACAAAAGTATCATTGTCAGCAATCAGGGGTTGTTTCATCTAAAAGGATATTGTAGACCTGGGCTAAATATTTCCCTCAAGGGATTAATTTAAATCGATCTTAGCTTAGAGAGGGTTTTCTGCCCTATCAAACATACCCAATGATTCAATACTTAAAAAAGCAGACTGTCATTGGAGATCTTACAGGCTGCAATTGTGACCGTTTTATAGTGCAACCAATTGACCAAAACACCTGATGATACTAACCAAAACAACAGATGATGATTACTATCGAAAACATCTGAATAAAGGGTTTTGATGGTAACTGTTTTTTATGTGAAGCACATTGATTAAACCATGCAGACAGAGGACTCGGGACACACCCTTGCTGGCATGAGATTGTTTTGAGTTTGAATTTAGTAGTATGCTAAATATGTCATTAGCTCTTTCTAACCTTGAGTATGCATTAAATTTGTCTGGACAGATGAATTTTGATTTAAGCATTGGTGACATAATTATTATCTAAATATCATTTTTTTAAATCATTTAATTTTATGAATGAACTCCTCCGATTGAAATTCACGATCAATAAAACTATCTTCGGGGATTGATTTTTGAACCCTATCGAATCTATCTTGCTCACATAGGATCAGACTTATAATACATATTATTTGAGCCTTAAAAAAAGACTTTGATATTTAACTTTGAAAATAAATCCCTCTGGATGAAATTCATCGTCAAAACGACAATCATCAAAGAATGAATGAAATTTATATATCATTAAGAGCACTAGTCCTATCAACTCTAACCCTCATGATGAGGAGAATCAAACTGGCTCAGTGCAGGCTCAATCTTGTCAAGTTTGGTCCATGTAGGGAGGAAGATCATGTTGACCAAAGTGTGGGACTTACGTCCTCGCCCATTGGTAAGGCGACTCATTGCTCCGAAGCATTCTTAGGCACAAAAAGCTAGAATATTTAGAGGCACGTTAGAGCACATGCAGGTGTTTCAATTTTTTGTGGATCAATTTTGACTGACTTTAAGGGTTTTTTTGTTATTTGCATTAGTATATTATCATTGAAATACATGCAAATATTTTCATTTAATCCTTTCAATTTGCCTTTTATTTTCTTGTGTATTTGGGGTTGTGGATTCTGTGATGAGGTTTAAATTTATAAGCATTAAAATTTTCACATTTAGTTGAGCCACAAAATTTAGTTATATATGTATTAAATTTGGGCGGCCAATTTCCTTTGCATATGGTATAAGTTTGTATTTATTTTGAGTGGCGAAAGTTTTTTGCATTTGAGATTTTTTTATCAAAGAGGCACAACACATAGCTTCCTTCTTCTATTAATAGAAATATATGACTTGATTGATTTCACGCTTTGAATCCCTTGGGGGGTAGCTTGGAGCCTATGAATCTTTCAAGTCATTTAAGTTTTTTTTTTTCTTCATCATATTTTGTTTTTTTTTCCCCTTCCCCTTCTGATTGTCTTCGTGTTTTAATCTAAGTTTTATTCATATCAATTCAAGTCCATTTTAAGCTTGACCTAGAACATGTTAAGTTTCAAAATCAAAGAAAATTTTGGCATCACATGGATTTGGACGTCATTCGACATTAGGGGGCTGCATTGAGGGTTCGAGTCAGCCTACCACGCCAAGAAAAGCGTTTATGGTCGATGTCCTGAGACACCGAAATTGAATTTTTGAAACCCACCACGCTAAAAAATGGGTGCATGAGGTACATGCAGACAAAGCTTCACAAGCAAGTATTTCCCTTTTATATCGTGAATGTCATATACGAGTTTTCCTCGGCATGTTAAGAAGAATGTGCACAAGTTCTGCTCGTTGCGCCAAACACGTCACAAAAATGATTGCCACGTGAACAAGTTTTCCTTGTCATGCTAAAAAAGAAATGCTCAAGTTCTGCTCTTTGTGCCAAACAATTTACAAAAGCGAAACACGTTGTGAATATTGTTGGCGAGTTTTCCTCACCACACTAAGAAAAATGTGCATGTGTTTTGCTCGTCGCATCAGAAGCAACCACTATCGCTTTAGATGTGAACAAATACTACATTTTGTACCTTTGTAGATAACGATAGGAATCTCTCAAAATAATTTGCACTCATTCTCATGTTAATATCCCTCCATGAAAGCTATATCTATACATCCTAACATGAATATAAACACATTTATTTTAAACCCTACGTGCACTCAAATAAAACAGTAAAAGTGGGAATCATAAATCTTACACAATTTTAATATTTCCTTATTTTATCTTGATTCAAAATGAAGAGGTTAGTGGTTGTTTTGTGGTTGCAGCTCACGGGACACAACAATGGAAGAGGAAAGCTGTTGTAGTATGGATGAGAGGGGGTTTGGTCGCGGCATTTGTGTTTTAACTAATATTAGAAGAGAATACTAACAGCAGTCGTTGTATGAGTTGAAGGCGGGGAGGGGGATTTTTTATTGCTTCTTTATGTCCGGTGTCCCAATTAAAAGGGACGATGAAAATTTGAGTCAAGCAAGCGGAAAGCTTGAGGCACAAAATCAGAATTTAGGTTGAGACCCTGGAGATGTGTGGAAGATCTGGTCGGATTTTCATGGGAGTGAACGAGAGAGGAAGAGAGATGGTGGGTTAGGTGGTTGGGTGCTCGTCGAAGAGAAAGGAGAAACAAGAGGAGTTAAGGTGGAGGTTCTGCCTGTTTTGCGTGGAGCAGGAAGGAAGCTGGAGTTTCGAGCGTGAAGAGGGGCAGAGGCAAAACGTAATTTTGGCATAACGGAGATGAAATGGACCAGAGATCGGTTTTGAGATTGGGATATGAGTCGAGGCATGGGCCTTAAATCAGAAAATATATTACTTAGGAAGTTCAGATGCATTCGAACTTCAATAACATCATTGTGAAATATTTAAATCGTCGAGTTAAATATGAGAAGGGCATAAATTTAATGATACAATTAGAGTATAAATGTTGTATCTTGCTTCTACATTGCTTGGACCTTGATGTACAAGCAGGGTATAAGTTGGGTACCCGCTGCTTGTACCCTAAGAATACAAATGAGAGAACAAATTTTGTTCCCAACTGGTAACCTGGCCCGTCATTCGTCATGATATTATTGGACTCTGGATACATTCGGTCGGACTTTGTACGTAATATTTTTCTGTGAAATGAACGAATGGGTTGTGGGGTTTGTACTTATCTATTTTAAATTATATCATTACCTTTAATTTCATGTTGTTGGCACGTGCATGGAAACCCAACGATAAAGGTGTCATTTTTAGGCAAAATTAAGAACTCTGACATGCTTGTGCAGTTTGTTTCGTAATCAGAGATCATTTTAGTGATTTTCACGACAGTTAAGATGATTTATTTTTGAATTGTATGCATCACATTAACCGTTTATCTATTTCTCCTTGTTTCACCACTTGATCATGACATCATTTCTGTCATGCTTTCTCTGCCCGATCATGAAAAATTGTTCTTTATGGAACTTTGATGTTCCGAATAGAGTGCTACACTATCCATCATTCACCCATTTGTCTTATGCTTGACTCATTCATCTTGTGAAATTTATATTAGGGTCAACAATTGCCCCCAACAAATATGTGCGCATATGGAGCGAATAATATTTATTGTACCTTTCCTTACATTTCTCCAACAAATTTACTTAGTCCTTTTCATTCTTTATTGATCGACTTTTCTTATAATGATTGCAAGTGATGCTTATATAGAGGATTCCTATGATTTGCCACATGATGAGCTGGTTGAGGAGGCCATCATGGCCATCATACACAGACATGTTCCTCATGGGACTTTCAAGATAAATGATAGGTGGCTAGGGCTTGGTCTCATAACCCACACCCCAAACTCCCCCACTTGTCCTAAACCCTAAATCTCATTGAACCTCGCTCTT